GTGGTTCAGGGACACTCCAGGGCATCTCCAATTATCTCTGGGAAACATTGTGAAATCTTCAGAATAATTAATTTTAATTCACTTTAATTAAAAAACGGCATACCATTTAGCATTTTGTTGTGGAGGAGGCATGTGGGGGAGGGCAGAGCATGGCAAAAAGCAAATAGGTATTGAGTATTGCCACTCCCTTGCACAGGGAAGCACCATCCAAGAGCAACCAAGGAGACAGAAGGAACCCCCAGGGGTGAACGGAAGGAGGAGCTGGGACCTGTTGGCTCCTGTTCTTGGGGGTTTTGCTGAGCTCGGGGATTTGGTGGGGCCAGGAGCCAGACCCTTCACACAGTTTCCCGCTCCATATTGCAATCCTTTCGCAACAGCCGACAGACTTTCCTTATTTTCATCCATTTCTTGGGTCTGTAATCTGGCCCTAGCAACCTTCCTGCAAAGGCCCCAGAAAATGGTTCAAAGCCAGAAAATAACGAATGTCAAAGAAACCCCAGGAGACCCTCCTTCTTAGTTCTGGCCTTTAGCCATTCCAGCTGGCTCTATAACTACTCTCCCACCCCGCTCCCTACCACTTCCTTTGGATGACGGCTCTAGACAAGAGAGAGAGAGAGGACTAGAATTTTTTTTTAAACTGAAATTGTCAAGAGTCTCCTGAATTCTTCCAAAAGGCTCCAAACTCTTAGGCAGAGGCATTTTCTCTCAAGATCTTGGGAGACAGACCAGGCAAATTGAAGAGTAGTATGATTTCCACTTTAGAAGCAGGGAGGGGTAAACAGCTTCACTTTCATTAATCTCTCCCCAGCAAAATCTCTCTCTTATTATTTTTTTTGGGGGGGGCTAGGCAATGGGGTTAAGTGACTTGCCCAGGGTTACACAGCTAGCAAGTGATATGTGTCTGAGGCTGGATTTGAATTCAGGTCCTCCTGAATGCAGGGCCAGTGCTCTATCCAGTATGCTACCTAGCTGCCCTGCAAAGTCTCCTAAATCACAATGGAGTGTCAAGCCTCGAAGTGCCCCCTTGGCTTCTTTCACTTCTGGGGGGCTTTCCCATTCACCTGGCTGCTCATTTGACTCCTGGGTCTCTGAGAACAAATATCAGAATTACTTGTGAGATGAAGAAGTTCTGCTACTCTTCTCCCTCTCCCTGCCAAGTCTTAACCCCACCATGTGCAGGGACCTTTTGGATGGGATTTCCTCCTATGGAGACAGTGCAGTTTTGGGTGGGATCTAGAGAAAAATTATAAATTAGGTAGCTAGGTGTCATGGTGGACAGAGTACTGGACTTGAAATCAGGGAGATCTTACCTCAGACTTATTAACTCTGTGACCTTAATCCAGCCACTTAATCTGTTCAGCCTCATTTTCTTCATCTGTAAAATGGAGATAATGGTAGAACCTCCATCAGGGTTAACTGATATAACAAATGTAAATAGCCTTAAAATGCTATTATAAGTGCTAGCTATTAAAGAAGGGATCAAGTGCCCTTGACAAAGTGATAAAGAGGGTAAAGTTTATTTGTTGTTTAGTAGTTTTGATCATTCTGACTCTTCATGATCCTATTTGGGGTTTTCTTGGCAAAGATACTAGAGTGTTTTGCTATTTCCTTTTCCAGCTCATTTTACAAATGAGGAACTGAGGCAAAGAGGGTTAAGTGACTTGCCCAGGGTCACACAGTTAGTAAATGTCTGAGGCAAGATTTGAACTCAGGCCTGACTCTAGGCTGAGCACTCTATCCACTGTGCCACCTAGCTTCCCCAGAGTTCATTACCAGATCCTTCCCATGAGGTTGCCTTTATCTATCATAGGCAGGGAAAGATTGCCTAGGTGGTCAAATTTGAGACTGGCTGAGGAAATTCTCTCATTCCCTGTCCCCACCTACTTCCTTATGTCTCTCACATACCTCCTTCATCATCCCATCACACTGCCTGATTTTCCACCATTAAAATTTCATTTTTCAGTTGAAAGCCTCTTAGTGAATTTTATTTGCTAGGAGCCAGGGGACTGAGGCTGTTCAGTGAACTGCTGAAATGAGGTCATATTCATATGCATCATTAGAGCTAGAAGGGACCTTAGCGATCACATTTAGTCTCATTTAATCTAACTTATCCCCAAAATAGTTGTTATGTACATTCACTAAAGAAGCCTTCCCTGATGACTCCCACCTGATGTCCAACTTCTCTGAATTTCTTTACAGCACTCCCAGACCACACAATTTAACAATTACATTCATAAAAGTGAATGCTTTTTTTCCTTCTTCAATATAATATACTCACTGCAGTTTATAAAACCAAGTGCTTGATCTTTCTCTGGCCAGACTTTTCAGCTTAGAGCATCTTGGGTTGGGGCAGTGTGTCCAAAGAGATGAGCAGATATTTCTGCCATGCACTCGTTAAGGTAACGTTATAGTAAGCTTTCTTGCCAAGATTTGGTTTCTGAGAGATTGTTAAGCATTTGTTATAGTCTTCTCCTTTTATGTGATGCAAGTGGATAGATCCAGGATCAATAGATTGAAGTAATAAGGTACAGATTTGGGATAATCAGTCAATAAGCATTCATTTATTAAGAACCCCCAATGTGCCAGCCATTATACTAAGTGCTATTGATACAAAGAAAGGCAAAAAAAATTGTATATTAAATAAATTGGAAATAATCAACAGAGGGAAGGCTTCTTTTAGAAGGCAGGATTTTATCTGGGACTTGAAGGAAGCCAGGGAAGTCAGGAAACAGAGATGAGGATAGAGAAAATTCCAGGCATGGTGGAGAGCCAGTGAATTGTCTTACGCTCAGTGTGCTGAAAAAAATATCTTTACTGGAGCTGGCTAACAGTGGAATAGACTGTCTCATGAGGTAGTCAGTTCTTCTTTACTGAATGGATTCTAACGCAAGCTGGGGATTGTTTTGGGTTAGCCATGTTGAAGAGAGGGTACATATTTCAGGTTAGTAGGTAGTAGTAGTAGTAGTAGTAGTAGTAGTAGTAGTAGTAGTAGTAGTAGTAGTAGTAGTAGTAGTAGTAGTAGTAATAGTATTTCTATAGCACTTTAAAGTTTGCAAAGTACGTTACAAATATTATCTTATTTGATCCTCACAATATTCTTGGAGGTAGATACTATTACAGATGAGGAATCTGAGGCATGAAGAAGGTAAATGACTTGCCCAGAATCACACAGGTAGCGAGTGTCTGAGGCCAAATTTGAATTCAAGTCTTCCTGCCTCTGGATCAGGTGCTTTATCCACTGAGCCACCCAACTGCCTCACCTTGATGACCTCTGAGATTCTGTGATCATAATACTGTGATTTACCCCTCACATAGCACTGATTGCAGCTGACACATTGGTAATTTATATACATGTCTTATCTCCTCCACTAGATCATGACCGTCTTGCAGGGATCTTCTCTTATACTTCCTTATCACTGCCACAGCACCTTGCTCAAGGATAAATACATAGTAGGCATTTAATAAATAATGTAATAGCAGCAGCTAACTTGTTTCTGTTTACATGGTACTTTACAACATATAAGTGCCTTTTTTTTTTTAGGCAGTTGGGGTTAAGTGACTTGCCCAGGGTCACACAGCTAGTAAGTGTCAAATGATTGGTCTGAGGCTGGATTTGAACTCAGGTCCTCCTGACTTCAGGGCCAGTTCTAACCACTGCACCATCTAACTCCCCCATATAAGTACTTTCTTAAGGCTTAGCCCAAGTACCATCTTCTACATGAGCCTTTTGTGATCCCCCCCTCAGCTACTTTGCACCTCTGTCACATAATGTCCGGGGTACAAACTGATGCCTCTTGCTACATAGCTCCTCAAGGGTAGAGATTGTTTCACTTTTACCTTTGTACGGTGCCAGCAGCCTAGTGTGTAGGGTTATTCTTGTTTGTCCTTCAGTCATGTCTGACTATAAGTGACCCCCATGGACATTGGCTGTGGGGTTTTCTTGGCAGAGATACTGGAGTAGTTTGCCATTTCCTTCTCCTACGTGGCCTCATTTTATAGATGAGGAACTGAGGCAAGTAAGGGTTAAGTGACTTGCCGAGGGTCACACAGCTAGTAAGTGTCCAAGGCCAGATTTGAACTCAGATCTTTCTGACTCCAGGCTCAGTGCTCTATCCATTGTACCGCCTAGCTGCCCTGAGCATATAGTAGACACTTTAAAAATGCTTACTGATGGGTTGAGTCCTCACAGCAAACTGTTAGATGAGGTAGATGGTCCATTTATTACGAACTCCATTTTAGGAAGGAAGGAAAGGAAGGCCTTTTAGTTTTAGAAAGGAAGGAAACACCTGCTATGTGCCGGGTACTGTGCTAAGCACTTTTTACAAATATTTTCTCATTTGATCCTCACAACAATCTTGGGAGTTAGATGCTGTTGCAAATCCCATTTTGTAGTTGAAGAAACTGATGTAGACAGAGGTTAAGTGACTTGCCCAGGCTAACGCAGTTAGTAGTTGTCTGAAGCTGAATTTGAACTCAGGTCTTTCTGACTTCAGGACCAGCACTGAGAGTGATGTGAATAAGAACTTCTTGAATGGAAAAAAAAAATACTGCCTTGTTTCCAGTACAACTCTTCAGTACAGCTACATGGTCCAATGGATAGAGTACTGGGCCTAGAGTCAGGAAGCTCTGAGTTCAAATCCAGCCTCAGACACTTACTAGCTGTGTGGCCCTGGGCAAGTCAGTTAACCCCTATTTGCCTAAGTTCCTTATCTGTAAAATGAGGCCACATTGGAGAAGGAAATGGCAAACCACTCCAGCATCTTTGCCTGTGTGTTAATTTGTTTCCCTGCTCAGATTTGAAACACTTGAGGGTAGGAGCTGTCTTACATTCTTACACCTTAGAGCATTTAGCACAAGGTTGGGCATTAATGGTATGGAGTAAAGCTTTGTCAACTGCTAGACTGGATAGGTGAGATGGAATGGATGGATGATGGGTGGGTGGAGAGAGAGATTGTGTTCAGTGTGTGCTAGAGGGTTAATGTTTCTCTTCCTTTCTGCAGATAGCCCTCAGTGCTTTTTTCCAAGAGACCAACATCCCTTACAGCCACCACCATCATCAGATGGTAAGTCTCTTTCAATTTTTTATATCATCCTCAAGTTCTTTGGGAGGGATAAGCCTCCCAAGTGTTCTTCTCTTTGCAAAGTTGTTTTGTGAGATAGTACTATTGACAGAACTGGGGGGAAGGAATCCATTTGCTTCTGAGCCCAAGGGGAGCTGGTACCCATACTCTTTCACAGAGAGTGAGGGGCCTGATCCTTGTTTGTAGAGCATCTTTAATAGATCAAAGCTTTAGAGCCCAAGAAATCATCTAGTACAGCCCCCTTATTTTACAGATCAGGAAACTGAGGCTCAGAAATTAAGTCACTTGCCTAAGGTAACACGGTTAGTAAATGCCAGAGCCAGAATTCAAATCCTGGACTCCAAGTCCAGAATTCATTCCTTAACACTCTCCTAGAAGCATACTCTCCTAGAATGTCTTTTCTCTTATGATTATTGTATGACCTGCAGCAAGTCACTTGTAATATCTTTAGATCTTGATTTCTTCATCTGTAAAATGAAGGGATTGAACCTAGATAGTCTCTAAGGTACCTTCAATCTCTCAATCTATAATCCTAAAATGGGGGTTCCAACCACCACCAGCTTTGGCTTGTAGGAAAAGATGATTTCAGGGGTGCCAAAAGGCTGCCTCTGAAATCTCTCCCCCATAGGCCTATGCCTATGCCTGGGAACCCCACCATTAGTCACTGGGCTCAAGAAATGAATTCTTATTATATGTTTTATATATGTATATATGTACATATATACATGTATATACATACACGTATACATATATGTTAGAACTGAGAGAACCTTAGACATCATCCATGTAGGTCAACCCCTTCATTTTATAGATGAGGAAAATGTGTGGAAGTGACTTGTCCCCAAGTGCTTACCCCAGGGCTATCTGGGGAAAGAAAGAGAAACATTAATCCTCCAACACACAATGAACACAGTCTCTCTCTCCAACCCCCCATCCATGAACTTGGATGGGGAAAAAAATTACATCCTTATTTTCACTAACAAATCTCCCATTTTCTTCCATTTATCTTACACATTGAAAGATATTATTCTGAAGGGGTCTATATATGAAGGGGTCACCAGACTGCCAAAGGGAGGTTCATGACTCACACAAAAAGTTAAGAACCCCTAGTATAGAAGCTGATGGGGAAAGAGCCTGCAGGCTTCTGGCCATAGGCAGGTGCTGAGGTCTGGCTGGAGACTTTAACCCCTGGTAGGTAGGTATCCTAAAGGTGACCTAGAAAGAGGGACTATGATTTGGTGTTCCCAGAGTATAGTAATAGACAAATTTTCTTTCTGCCTAGAGCAAAAGTTTGTAACCTGAAGTCTAGGCACCATGGATAGATTTCAAGGGGCCCATGAACTCGGTTAGGGAAAAAAATATATACATCTTGATTTTTAGTAACCTTTAACTAAATTAAGAACCCCAGTCTTGGGGCAGCTAGGTGGCATAGTGGGTAGAGCACTGGCCCTGGAGTTAGGAGGATGAGTTCAAAAGCAGCCTCAGACACTAGTTGTGTTACCCTCGATAAGTCACTTCACTTAACCCTAATTGCCTTTTAAAAAAAAAGAACCCTCGGTCTAGAGTATTAGCAGATATTGGAACATGTAGGTTCTGAGCTGAGCCCCAAGGATAGATAAATAATAATCTATTATTTAATAATATATATAATATATATATTCCTATTTCCTTATCTATGAAATGTAGATAATAATACTTATGCCTATTTCACAGGGCTTTTAGATCAAGAGACAATGTATATAATATACATAAAAAATAATAAATTGGAAAGTTGGGAGCACCCCATTTGAGGAACGGGGTGGTCAGTGCTATGCTATTAATAGAAGGGAAATAAAAGCCGTGGAACTCATCATAACATCACATAGATTTAGAGCTGGCTGGGACCTTTAGCAATCATCCACTCCAGAGATCACAGAATATTAGCGCTGAAAGAGAAGTTAGAGATGCTCCAGTCCTATCTCTTCATTTCGATAAGTCAACAAGTTTCCCAACAAACTTCACAGAGGAGGTGCAGAAGAACTGAAGGGATTTCTCCAAAGGCACTTGGTGAATTATTGTCAGAGACGAAACTAGAACTCACACCTAGACTGGGTGTTCTTTTTTCCTAGAAAGGAGGGTGCTGGGGTGGGGGGGGGTGGGAGGATGAGGTGGAAAGGTTTTCTGTTTCCAGACAGGGTCAGGCATAGTAAATCCCTGACCTCTTTCTTCTTTCTCTTAGCACAACTTGACCCAGCAGAGCAGGCAGGTCAGAACAGGGCATAGCTACTTAGCTGGATGAGGGTCATGGGGGGACACCCAGGGCCTTACGATCTGGAAAGGGGAGGGGATGAGACATAGGACAGAACCACATGCCTCTGGAAAGGCCTGTCTGCATTCTTTACATAGGTCCAGCTTCCTAGTGTAACACAGATCTTCAGCGGGCTGTTTAAAGTGAGAAAATCCTCAGGGCCTTCACCCTACAGAGTTGTGCTACTCCTTCTAGATTCTTCCAGATCACACTTCCCAATTCCATTCCTTCTCCTCTGCTCATTCATCATCCAGGCCTCTCCTTCCCCCCAAGCCATTTTGTTGTTCAAACTCTCCTCTCTTTTTACAATGCCCCTCCTCCCCCAGGCTCAGATGCAATGTCTCCTGACCAGAGTACAACATCTGGAGAAGGAAAGGACCAAAGGGGAAGGAAGAAGCTCTTTTGATTCTTTCCCGCATCTTATTGATGTTCAATGGGACTTGATCCCAGATGTTTTCCTGGTGCTTGTTTGGCCTCCTAATAGGCTGACCCCTGGTCCTCCAGACCCTGCAAGGCCTACAAAAGCATCCAGTTGGATTGTTGGGAGAATGGGTACAGGTGGGGAGGTACTAAACACTGGTTTGGTGGAAGTGGAGTAAGTCATGGTTAAGATTAGGTGAGAGCCAAGATTTGAGAATTAGAGACTATGCTGTGCATCAGTAGAACGGGGAATCAGTTAGGCCTTTGACTGAGCCATTATTTGGGCTCCTTGAGGATAAAGACTGTTTTCATTTTTGTCCTTTTTGTCTTTACCCAAGGACAGTGCCTGTTATATAGGAGGCACTTAATCAACTGAATTGCTGTATTTAAGTGAATTAAATCCACCTCCTCCATCAATATTATCAGATAAGGTTCCCAAGGAAAATTTAAGAAGAGAAAGAGAACATTACCAGTTGTGGGTAGAGGTGAGGGTTGGGGTTCAGGGTAGATTTCATGAAGAAGATGCTGCCTGAGCTAAGCCTTGAAGGAAGACAATTTTTAAAAAATCTGAAAGAATAAGATGAGGAAGAAATAGATTCCAAGCTTATTCCAAGCAGGGAGATAGGAGATGCTATGTTGAGTTCAGGTAACAGTCAGTCCAGTTTTGCTGGAATGTAGAGTGTGTGAAGGGGAATGATGTGAGATACAGATAAAGAGGGAGGTAGAAAGCCAGGTCCTGGAAGGCTCTAAATACCACACCTTAGTATCAGAAAATACCTTAAAGATCCAGTCTTTTTTTTTTTTAATATATTTTTAAACATATTTTAAATATGGCCCTTTGCCCATAGAAGTAGCTGTCAGAGTGCCCAAAATGGAAATTTAGCTCTGGAGGGGCCCTAGGGAAGGGCAGAAGAGTGTGTTCAGGAGTTAGACAGGTCCAGGTGAGACCAGGAGACCCCAGGAGGAACTTGGGGAAGTCATTTGGGTAGTTCAAATAGCAAGCAAGAAGCTGACTGGCCCTGTGACTTCAGGCAAGTCATTTTTATCTCTAGGCCTATCTCCTGTTCTATTAAATGAGAGGGTTGGGCTGTATGATTTTCTAAGGTCTCTTCTAGTTTGAAATTCCTTCAATTCTATTCTAAGATTCTATGGATTTTTCTTCTAGTAGGTGAGCAGAGACTGACCTCTGGAGTGGGCCCAGGGAGGTCAGCTCGTGCTCTGAGGATCAGAGGAGGAAGGAAGGTATATCTTGGCCCCTCTGACTTCCATCTGGGGCTAGAGAGGTGGACTTGACCTAACCTCACCCTCTTTCTCTTTTCTCTCCACAGATGTGCACTCCCGCCAACACCCCTGCCACGCCCCCCAACTTCCCTGACGCCCTCACCATGCTCTCCCGCCTCAAGGCCTCCGAGAGCTTCCACAGCAGCAGCCCTATGGCTTCCTCGGCCACCTCGCCCCCACCCCTTCCGCATCCCCCCCACTTTGGGAGCTTTCCCACCCCCAGCTGGCCCACTGCCTCGCCTCCAGGCCCACAACAGCAGCCCCAGCAGCCGCAGCAATATTCATGGACTCCTGCCCCTTCTTCCCAGCCCTCGGACTGGCCTCCCCCAGCCTCTCAACAGGCCACCTCAGAACAGAAGGCCAACTCAACCATGGAGGCGGAAAGATAAGGGAGGCCTCCCCCCTCCCCTCCCCAAGGCCTAGATCACACGGGGCCGGGGCAGGGGAGAGGACATCTCCTATGGGCCCCTTCATCCTTCTCCTCTGCACCCCATGTTGATTTCTTTCACCCTTCCCCTGGAGACCTGGAGGGGGAGAGACAGGACTTGGTAGCCAGGCAGGGAGTGTGGCTTTCACACACACATACACACACACACACACACACACACACACACACACACACACACACACACACACACACACACCCCAGCATACACATAATATCCTTTGCACAGATTTGATTTGAAGCTGTTTGGGCTTACATTAGAGACTAAGGGACCTTCTCCAAGACTGAATAGCTACCCTGGACCTGTCCGACCTCCCCTCACCTCCTAAGAGTTACGCTGGAGAATCACTACAAAGTCAGCTTCTGATTTCAGGTAACATGTACCCATATACATACACACACAAAACACACATATAGTCATGTATTCATGTACATACACATGCATGCACACATGTTGGCACACATGCACAGGAACACAGAGGGCCCTGTCTGTGTGTGTGTGTGTGTGTATATGTGTGTGTGTGTGTGTGTGTGTGAATAAAAATGTATTTATATGTATGTCTCTACTCAAAACTCAATGTAGGTTTTCAGGGCAGCTGGATTTTGCATGTGAATAACTGATTCCCAAAGGCTCCCCTACCCTTGCCTTTTACCCTACTTCCCTGCCCCCTGTCTTCTGTTCTCCTGTCCAGCACTGCCTTACCTGCATAGAAGAGGACTGTGGGAAACTCCAGGACTCTCATCTTCCCCACCCCCATCCCCTGTCCATCCCTCCTCCCCCCCTGGGATCACCTGCATGCCTTCCCCAGAGCCCAGGGGGATGGGGTCCCCATCTCTTTTTCCTCATTTTAACAAACAAGAAGAAGAAATTCCAAACCCACCAGACTCTGTGGTTTTGCATTGTTTTTTGATTACCCTTGCATGTCACTGTGTGTGAGCAGGTTAGAAAGGAGGGAAGGTGCCCTGAATCAGGAGTCAGGGCCTGGGTTCAAATCCTATCTCTGGGACCTAATCTGTACAGTGGAGGGATAGGACTGATGGACTCTGAGGCCTATTTCAGCTCTCAGCCTGTGATTCTAATATCTGTGCAGAGAAAATGTGAAGCCCCTTTGAGGTCTGTTAGGCTATTCAGAAGCATCTGGAGTGTTCCTTTGTATGTTTTTTAAAGCTACAATTTTCCCTTCATCCTCTAAGGAATGAGAAGATTCCCTCCCCTCACTCTCCACTCTCCAGCAATATTGGTTTTCAGCTTATGAACTGAAATTGGGACTGGAGGTAACTCCTTTGTTCTCTGAGCCTCACTCTATTTACTCCATCACCTCTATTACTGCATCACCCCTGGGACAGGAAATGGCAACCCTATCTCAGTTTGCTTCTCCCTACTGGCTTTTGACCAGTCCTCAATCTAAGTGCTAAAGTTTGGACCATTCATTCCTGAGGCTAGGACTTAATTTTTGTTTTTTCCTGTTTTACCTAAAGATAATGACCAAGTGGCTGTGAGCTTGGTGCTTTAGAGTGAGGAAAGCCAAAGCCAAAACAGTGGCCTGGCTCTGTGTGTGACTATACTGAAGTATGGACTACCCTGGGGGAAGCTCACACACTGCCCTGGGTCCTGGGGAAGGAGGGAGCCCAGTAAACCTCAGGGAAAGGGGTGGGAGGTAGGGTGTGGCTCTAAGCCTTAGCCTGGGAGAAGGAAGCCAGACACACCAGAAACATTCCCTGGATTAATAATAACAGCAGCTAGCATTTATATTTGCAAAGTGCTTTACATATGTCATTTCATATTTACATGGTCCGGAGAGACAGGCATATGGAGTCTCAGAGACACATAAAGGGCCTGAGAAATGTGGACAGGGAATGGAGAGACATGAGAACTGAGAGGTCGGGGTTGGAATCCACTTTGTAGAAAGAGGCCCAAATTTACAGTCCCCCAAAGAAAGAGAACAAAAAAACTGAAAAACAGCCACTGCTTAGGGTCATATTCCCCAACTTGGGCAGGTTGGGTAACTGACTTGTCTGAAGACCAACCCCACTAGCTATATGTTGGGAAGCTCATCACCAGAATTGGCCAACTAGGTAATGCATGGGGAGTGGGGAGTGGAGCAAAGCTCAGGAAGACTGTCTTAAGAAACATTGAGTCAGGATCTGCATTGGTTAAAGAGATGTCCTCACAGGTCTCTGAAATAAAAACCCAGCATTCCAAGCTAGCCAAAGGTTTGGCTGCAGAATCTGGATGAATGGGAATATTGTATTACCTGGTTCAACAAACCCAGTGTAATGATCAAGTGTCTTCTGATCCAGAGGAAAGGAAGACTTGGCCACCTTATTCCTTGTCAACTCCTTCAGAGGACTAGGGTAGTTCCTATAACACTATTAGAGAGTCAAGTGTGTCTTAAAACTAGCCCTGCTCCTCCGTTCAAATGCAGAAAGAACTAGGTCTGATTGGCTCTGAACTTGGTCTCCCTTTTTTTCAACAATGTTTTCCTTCCAGTTCTTGTTCCTGGATTCAGTCAGCCCAATCCTAAGCCATTAGATTTTCTTTTTTTTTTAAAATATATTATTTTTTTCCTCAATGACATATTAAAACAATTTTTTAATATTTAAAAAATGATTTTGAGTTTCAAATTCCATTAGATTTTCAAACTGAGGTATTTGGAGTTTGCCGGAGCTATGGGGTTTTCAGCCTCTTAAGAATCCAATTCCATACCTGAGTTCAAATCTGGACTCAGATGCTTGACACTTACTTAGCTGTGTGACCCTGGGCAAGTCACTTAATGCTGATTGCCTCACCAAAAAGAAAAAAAAAAGAATCTGATTCCTTGTCCTTTCTTCTGAGTGTAGGATATGTAAATGGAAAGGACTGCTGCCACAAAATAATTGGAAATACATGTTTTGAAATTATGAAGAATAAGCTTGAACCCAAAGCACAGAAAAAACTTCACTTTTTTGCAAAAGTGAAGGGTGCACAGATGTGTAACATTACATGCAAAATGTCATTTATTTGATGTATTGATCAGTTTTGATGAATTTTTCTTCTCTTTAATAAAAAAATTGTTATAAAGGATGGCCCTCTGGGAGAGGGAAGAGGAGAGATATTGGAGAAATCTAAGAGGTATAAAAACCAAAGACATCAAAATTATACTTTTTAAAAAGTATGTAGGGAACAGCTAGGTGGCAGAGTGGATAGAGCACCAGCACTGGAGTTAGGAGGATCTGAGTTCAAATGTGACCTCAGACATTTGACACTTAACTAGCTGTGTGACCCTGGGCAAGTCAATTAACCCCATTGCCTTCCCCCCACAAAAAAAGTATATAATTTTACATTACTTTCAACATTTTTTCTATTTATACCTTTTGTTTTTACATCAACATTTTTTTAAACATATGCCTTCCCCTTCACCTCCCCAAAGAGGTATCCCTTGTAATGGAATAAAGAGGAAAAAAAATTAAAACAGTTCAGCAAAACTAATCAACATATCAACAATGTCATTATATCCAATGTGGAATTGCAGTGGACAGCTCTTACCTGGCTTCCCCAAACTTGCCCTGGGCTCCACACTGTCCTGTATGGACTTAGTAGTCATTTTCTTTTACTCCTGGATGTATTAGTCACTTTGGGCATTTTTGAAGTCCAGTCCTCCCACACAAAAATAATTTTCTCCCTTTGACTTTAACAGAGGCTTTCTCAGGCAGTCCTGACCTCACAAGTTACTGTGTTCCTGCTGGAGGTCTTCATGGTCCTGATGCTTGGAAGTCCTAACTTGACCTTGACCCATTCCTTTCTGCCCTATTTGGTTTGTCTGAAGAAAATCACTAGCTGTTACTCACAGTTCTGATCGACAGTACAGTTTTATCAGCAAGAACAAGGGACTTCAAGTCAGGAGACCTTGAGTTCTTGGCCCAACACAATCATTTATTGTAATAATAATAATAGCTATCATTTATATAACACCTTAAGGTTTGCAAAGTGCTTTACAAGTATTACCTCATCCTTACAATAACGGGGGGGGGGGGTAGGTGCTACTATTATCACCATTTTATAGATTAGGAAACTGAGTCAAGCAAATGTCATGACTTGCCACAGCCAGTTAAGTGTCTGAGGCCATATTTGAACTCAGTTATGGAGTCTTCCTAACTCTGGGTCCAGCTCTCCGTGTATTACACCTTGAACAAGTCAGTTGAGCTGTCTAAGCCTATTTGCTCATCTACAAAATGGTCGTCCATTTTGCCAGTTGCTATGACGATTAGATGAGATAACATGAGATACAAATGTAAAGCATTATATGGATATAAAAGATTTACTATTATTCTGCTCTTTGAATGACACTTAGCTTCTTTACCTCCTGCCCTAGGCTATCTGTTTTCCTTCCCACATCTCAAACTCCCACCTGATATTCCAGGGTACCCTGCTTTCTGTCCTAATGATTTTGTCAGATCTAGGGGCTATTGGGCTAATTGGTGTAGGGTCTCAGCTGCCATCGTAATCAGCCAACCTTTCCCATTGCACTCTGCAAAAGGTCCCCAGGGAAGGAATCCCATTGCACCTCTCAGTAAATTCCTGTTTACATGAAAACTTCCAATACCCAGCTCTTTGGAAGAAACGAGATGGCATATGGGTAGTATGGTATGTGAATGAGCAGGATTCAGGTAGCCAGCTCCATCCACTTCCCTGCCTCTCTTATGGTCATACTCAGGGCCTTTGTCTCCCTCAGGTAACTGGTTTATCAGTACCTTCTTCAGTGTTGATTAATAATAAATAAATACACAAATCCTTTGCATATACAGCAATTGCTCACACTCAATTCTCTTTCTGAATAAGAATAAATTCATAGTACCCAGTTCCTTTCACCATGCTGTTGTTGTTTTTTTAACCTCCATTTCATTCCCAGCATCTCTTTTTAATCACCTGCTCAGTTGATACCCATGGCATTCCACAGCCAAACCCTAGTTCGAGGTTAATTACCTGTGTCATAAATCATGTCTTCTTGTCCTGAGCCAGACTGCAGAGAAGGTCTTGGGAATCCCAGCACTTCAATCACCCTCACTTGATTGGAAAGATTAGGAGACAGCTCTACTTAATTTGGTGCTTTGCCTAAGTCTTGAGGCAGGGTGGTGGTGGTGGTGGTAGTGGTAGTGGTGGGAGGGAATGTTGTCTTTATGTAACAGGGAGGGGATGAACAGAGGTCAGGATGAGAAAAATGAACATCTTCCCAGTGACACCCAAGTCTTCGCTGTATAATTTCATTGTCTGGTTTGAAGTGAATTCAAGCAACTCTGAAGTATCTCCAGTTCCATTTACCAAAACACCATTCATTCACTAATTTGTTCATTCTACAACTATTAAGCTCCTACTAGATGCAAAGCACTATGATAGGTGCCTGAAGGAGATAATTAAGATAATTAAGAAGGTGTAAGAATAAAGAAGGTAATTAAGACATGATCCTTACCCTCAAGGAATTTTTTGTCAAACAGCAAGGATACAGCAATATATACAAATGTTGTTCAGTTGTATATGGACCATATACATGGATATATTGGACCATACTATCCATGGGGTTTTTTAGGCAAAGAAACTGGAATGGTTAGTCATTTCCTTCTCCAGTGGATTAAGGCAATCAGAGGTTAAGTGACTTGCTGGGGGTCACACAGCTACTAAGTGTCTGAGGCTGGATTTGAACTGGGTTTTTCTGACTCCAGGCTCAGTGTTCTATCCTCCGAGCCACTTAGCAGCCTTCTGTATACAAATAGTCAACACTGTAATAAACATAGTGCAAAATAGGCTGTGATAAGAACACAAGAGAGACATAAAGTGATACATTTGAAGTCAGAGGAAAGAAAAATTTCCAGTTAAGATACAGAACTCACTGCATTTACCGAGCACCCCCTATGTGCCAAGCCTTAAAGAACTGACAGGGGATGGGGACTGGATGAACTGGAGATGTTAAATGATTTGCCCATGATAACAAGATCTACAGGTATGAGGGTTCACGAGTCTAGCCCTTGGTGACTTCAAGACTGATCTATCCAGCAGAGTAGGCTACCTTTCAGTAACTTTCTAAGTCAATAAATTGCTGGGCAGGTGCTTGTCTGTATTGATCCAGGGAGCTTCCTCCTTGTATAACAATGAAAGCACAGGTCCATTCTACTCCCCACCCCCTCCT